TTGGGCGACGGGGGTGGCAGCCGATTCTCGGTTGGTGGTAGTGGTGGCAAAGGCTGAAGGGGAGCGAGAGGTGGCGGAGGTGGTGGCGGCGGCGGCGGCGAACATAAAATCCCTCGCACATGCCTGGTGCATTCATTAGGGGGGATGTGCCCGTGCAGCGTACACGTCGACCTGCATCCACGCCACCCTCTCTCTCTCTCGGCGCCACCCCTGGCCTCAGTCGCGTTCCGCGGCCAACTTGGTACACACGCCACTTTGTTGTCTCTCCCTCTCGGAGTTTCATCCGCGTTTCTACGCCATCGACGTCGCGTCGCGAGATAATCATGCCGCGATATTTCGCTTCGATCAGTCATTGATCCGTCGATTGCACAACGTCGACTCGAGTTGAAACACTGTTTTTTCTGTGTTTCGCAACAATCTCGACTCCGACACTCGTCTGGCACCCTCGGTTCGTCGCGTTCGAATCATGATCGCGACAAGTTGAAGATACTCGGTGGAACATTGCGAGTGCGTTTACCGTTGATATCGTGTGCGCGAATGTACTGTCCACGAAGACGACAGAAATCGCGGTTACTGCGTGAAAACGCAAGAGGACCAACCGTCTGAAGAGGTGCAGCAGCTCGTCCGGGGTGAATCGTCGCCGGAAGACCGTCGTAGGAAGATCTTTCGTGGGGGATCAAGCGGAGAGAGTCGTTCTTTGATCAGCGTCGAGCGGCTACGGCAGGCCGACAGGATTTCATGTTCACGAATTTCAGTAAACCAGGTAACGATGCGCCTAACCCGCCAGTACGGAATCGGCGCGTCGATTTTCAGATTTTCCTTCGACAGACGTGCTCACGTAGGGTATTATTCGATTTGCGCGCTCAACTTTCCTGGTTACACGCGGCTCGTTGAGAGGGGAGGACAGATACGCGCCTATTCTGTGGCCCACAAACAGCCTACGCCAGAACTGGGCTCATCGATCGCGAGATCTAGAGGCATGCGTCGCGTGTTCCTCCCTCTCGTTCCGGCGATTTCGCTCGAAAATAATAAGACACGAGCAGTTGACGGATACGCGTTTAATCACGGTTCAACTTGCACGTGGATTCCTTCTATTTCCTCTGTCGCTCGTTTGCCCGATCAAACCTTATCGACGCGAACCTGCACTTGATTGCTCTCGTTTTCTTCTCGGTCTTTCACGTAAACCGATAATTGAATAGAAAATCAAGGGGAAAACGTTGAACATAGAAAATAGGGAAAACGTTGAAACGGACGATGAGAATTTCACCGTTAAATTCCGTAACTGATCATGGAACCGGATAGTTTAACGGATTTCAATAATGTGCTCGGCAAACTAGACTGCACTTATTGGTTCGGCGTCCAATTGAAACATAAACTGGCACGGTGTGGGGAAAAACACGCGTTAGCGCGATTGTCAATTTTCGAGAACGTTACGCAGTTAATCGTAATTGTACAGAATATATTTTTTTTAAATTCTAGTGTTAACTATCAATTAGAGTTAAATTGAAAAATGAAGTTCGTAAACGTCAAACGTTCGATAACGAGTTATTCGTAAATTGAAAAGCGTAGACTGACTTTTGCTCAATTAAACAAGTAAGCAAGTTGTTGTATGACTTTTAATTAATTTTCGATAAAATGTTCAACGTGAAATTATATTTCATATCGTATAGCACTGCATTACGGATAAAACTAGCAAAATGCTGTGCTCCGAGTTCGATCCAAACGTAATTAGACCAAACGCATCATGAACGAGTGCGCAGCGAAGTGCAATTTATTATATACTTTCCATCCAAAAATGCAATTTATGTGCACAACGCGTAATAAACCTGTCATTTTCGATAAAAATGATATAAAAACTTTGTTTTCGTCGAACGAGGATATTATTCTAGAATTGAACTTCGCTCGCTACATCTCGCTCGGGCGAAAAATGAAATGTTCTTCGGGACAAAAATGGAAAAGTAACGTCCCACGAAAATGAGTCCTCGCGAACTTTACAATGCAAATACACGCCAAAAATGAAATTCGTGATAATAAAGCTAGGTGAGAATTTCGGAGACAAAAGTTCGCGGACGGAAGAAGTGTTAGCATTATTAGAATTTCCACAGGAATTATTTACGCGATACTTTACCAGCAGCGTTCTTCCCTATGCAAATACAAAACGTCGTAACTCCTTAGACGTTACGTCGCGGTGGACAAATATTGCAATAACGGTATATCAAGATTAATTTGTAATCTGCCGCGATGGTCGTAGGGAAGCGATCCATAATTTATACCTCGCGCATAGCTGTTCGTTCCACCGGATTAAGCTAAAAAGATGATACAACAACGAACAAAAATTTCAGCGCCGAATTTACACGCCGGTTGAACTATTATCGTTTATTTTCCGTCGCGTTTGTACGCCAGACGGTGGCTCTGTTAAACGAGTTGGCCGAAGGTTCCGACATAAATCGACGCAAACAACGTATTTACGCTCGATCGTTTCCGAAAAAGAAGACAAGAGGGAACAGAATGGGAATCCCGTGTCGTTGCTTTTTCTCTCTCTGCGTCGAGATGACGCGCCGATCAAAAGAGACACTCGTCGAGGGGGAGGAAAATTCGTTGCAACGCAGTGATCGTGGTTTTCTTTCGTTCAGACGGAGAAACGTCAACACTTGTCCATTTATTTAAGAAACTTCCATCTGAAGATCAAACGTTCAAAACATGCTCTGTCTCCTTCTAAGCCCTATTGTTGCCAGGAAAATAGTTGAGCGCGTAATATACAGACTCTTATCTTCTATAAAAAGACTACACCCGCTTTCGCGTCGAATCTGTTGCTTATTCCACCGTGAATTATTTACGCGATCGTCTTTTTGAGCTTAAATCCGAACAAAGTATGATGAAACCAGAAATGCGATATTACGTTTCCGTACGATGCCATACGTATTTTTCGTGTGAAACGGAGAGGCTAGTTTGCTCGCGAAGATTGAATCGTTCGCGGGTCGCAATTTCGCTGCGCGCGCAGCGGCGCGCGAGCATGCGCAATGGCCCGTGCTACTCGCGTAGACATCTCCGCTGCACTTCCGGCGTGCAACGCGCGAAGATCGTCCCTGAAGATCTGCCAACCGCACCGAAGACAGAGAAACGATATTTCGTTGCGCTACGTCAATCGGGTCTCGTAGCGCGACTTCTGATCGCGCTAGGGCGAGAAGCGGCGACGTATCGAGGCACAATACGTCGCAACGATGCCTGCTTCGACTTGTTTTCCTCGTGGAACAGTCAAGGCCGCCGCGAGATAATTATGCAGATAACGGTGATGCTCACCGGTATCCCACCTGCATGGAGGATCTACAGGTCCGTTCCTTTGGCTAAGATGATCTTTTCTCTGTGTGTCTGTCCTTTACACTATACTTAATCTTTAATTTCTCGCTGTCGAACATTTTTGACTCTTGATAAGTGGACGGTCGTTAGGTAACACAAATTGGTTGCTTCTGCGATTTTTACGAAGCAGACTTTTTTTCAAATAGTAAAGTTAACTCGTTCGAAGGATCCGGTTCGCGCAATTGATTGCGTAACCGCTTATTTGGTCCAGGATGATGTTACCGATGTCTAACAGGCTGCGAAGTAATTTTGCGAACAAGCTTCATCTAGGAGGCAATAAAATCAGGCTAGCCACGATTAAAAGGACTCGCGCAAACGTGCCGTGAGCTAACTACCGTACGCTTTCAGTAATTATTCGTCGGTGAAACGAGTAAATCCGACCTGATACCAGCAGATACGATTACTCCGTTTTTTTCCCGTTCTCTCGTACGCGTGGCCCGCTAATTCTACCACGGATGTCCGGATGGAAAAAAAGAAAATATCGCGAAAAATTTTCTGGAAATAGAGTTATGTGACGAGTAAATTCCGAGAGGATCATTTAAATTTCATTCACGCGGAGATTTGTTAGAGTTCCTTGTGACTCTCAAGACGATTTCTTCTCTTTTGTTCTCCGTTCGCGTAAATCGCGTCTTCGTTAAGTGAGACATTTTCGTCAGGGACAATATCCGATATAATTTATGACCAAGCAGTTGAATGCCAGAATAAGTATTCCTTAACGAAGTTGTCATTCTGAACGATTGTAGCTGATTTGCCGCTGAAAATATTACGGCGCGTCTTAACGTTATTGTGCCATTAGTTAACTTTTTAAATTCTCCAGAGACGTGCTCGAGATAAATCCAGTTATATTCGTTGCGTTATCCGTTTAATACACCGAATTCCTATTTACCGGCTCGACTGTATCTTCGTCGTAGACAAGCAAGCGAATAGTAATTTCGCACGGTGCCAATCAAAGCGCGGATTAAATCTGTTAATGGTCAGGCAATGCTTGTAAATCCGCACTCGAAAACCGATTAAGGAGATTTTCCAATTTTCCCGCTGCCTATTGATTTCGTACGGTTAACACGATTATCGTTCGGCCCGTAGACCGGCGAAATTAATATCAGAAAGCTCACGATTTGCGTGAATTACCGTTTATTGGAGTCAAATGAAGCCGAACGACCCCTTTGCGCCGCATGATTTTCCGCGAAATGTAATCCCCTCCCGTATAACGTGGCGCAAACTCGCATTTCCTGAAAGAAACGAAAAAAAGAAAAAAACGAAGAGAAAAGAAGAATCAAACAAGGCAGGGAGAATCTCGCGAATTGTTTAAGCTGCCGAGATAAAAGTATACGAACGATCCTTCGGTTAAAACAGCTTTGGATTTTTTTTTTTGGAATGTCTAAGGAAGAAACAGGTTTTGAAAGTTTCCTTTTGCAGTATCTTCTTTAAGGATCTATGAATCTTACATACATTGCACGCGTTGTGATAAGTTTATGAGAAGTTGAACTTTTGCGTAACACTTTAATACGTTTATAACATTTTCATGCGCGTTCGCGAAATGCTTTATGATATAAGATACTTTTTGCTCAGTTTTTTTTTAATGATTATGGTCGTAATTATCTTCATGCGAGAAAATTGTTTTATTTATTGCGCTGACTGTAAGAAAACATTATAACTTCTCGATTGAACTTTAGCGCTAAATGCAACCGTTTTAATTATTTATACTTCCGATAATATACAGTAAGAATTCTGTTGGTGAGAGAAAAGTATTCGTTTTTGTTGAACAGAATAGTAATTTCTGTTTAATTATCGCGTCCCGGGTTATCAATAGGATAAACGTGTTTATTTTGCCATTAGTACGAAAGGTAATTCAATTAAATATTTATTTATTTACTTTAACGTTCGTCATTTGCGTGATCTAATCATGAACACGTTCTAACAGATTTAGTCTTGATAGGTTATGTGTCACGTGTTATCTGTTACTATATTTCGTAGTCAAATTATTTTAATAATTCATTACATTTTAGTATACGGTTAGTTTGTGACACGAAATATTTAAAACTTATTATTAAATAAAGACGATAATTTATTCGACACAAATAATCTTTCTACACTTTGAAAAAATACGTAAACATTGATTACAGATAAAAACAAAGTTTTCGTTGTTCATCGTTGCATATTACATTATAAATATATTTCCAAATACATCGATAAGAAATTCTGAATATTGAAAAGAGGAAAAGATTTAGTCAATTTGAAACTGTTGCACGAATTTCTATCGCGTGACTAGTAGCGTTTGAATTCGAGCGCCCTTCGCGCCATTCCCCCCGGCAGATGCACGAAGGTCAAAAGTATTTTAAAAATAAGGCCGTAGGCATTGGCAGATTGGTATGGTAGTGGACGTTAAGGGTCGGGTGGCGTTGTAATGGCAAAAAGTTTGCGAAAGGTGAGTAATCATCGGGACGATAAACAAAGTCGGTTTGCTAGTGTATACGGTGCGTTAGTTAACTGGCGCTGGGTTTAGGTAAATAAAGCCGCGTGTGAAGCGTGTTTGAATGGTTAGAAATCGAGTATCAACAAATCTAGTTTTCGCGAGAAGGCTCGTGGCTAGACGAACACGGTCGACAATGGCGCCCAAGCCTCGCGAATATTGACATTGCCGAAAACATTATCTTCGAATATTGGATATTATCATATCCGTGGGTGAGACATACTGCGTCGCAATTAATATTCTAACCTTTTTTCCATTCGCGTCACATTTATCGAAGTGAAATCGCGAACAAAGTAGTTTGTTGGTTTGCTTAGGTTATGCGAAAAAATGTTTTCGGCACGTATAGTAGCGACGCGTGAACCCTGAAGGGTTTTACAGTTATACTGCAATGTGGCACATTTGCAGAAGCACGGAGGAAGTTGTGTGGGTCTAGAGTTGCGATATAATCTCCGAGAAGATATCGTTAAGCCGATATAGGAAAGTGTGCGTGAAGAAAGGCGTATGAGTTAACGTTTTAAGGGTTAGGGAGTCATTCTGTACTCAGGGTGATCATAGTCTTTAGTGTGGACAGTTCAGGGCAGCTAGTTTGGTTGTAGGGTCGGGATTGGAGATAGACAAGATGGACCAACAGTATTGCCTACGGTGGAACAATCATCCAGCCAACCTCACAGACGTTCTCAGCTCCTTGCTTGCCAGAGAGGCACTCTGCGACGTTACCCTGGCGTGTGTTGGAGAGACATTCAAGGCACACCAGACGATACTCTCTGCATGCAGTCCATATTTCGAGAGCATTTTCCTCCAGAATACCCATCCCCATCCAATTATATTCCTGAAGGATGTCAATGACACGGAAATGAAGGCGTTGCTGCACTTTATGTATAAGGGAGAAGTTAACGTTAGTCAGCATCTACTACCGATGTTCCTTAAAACAGCTGAGGCGTTACAGATTAGAGGCCTCACTGATAATAGTGTAAATAACAAGACGGAAGAGAAAAGTCCATCGCCAGAACCAGAAACGCAAACTGGCATTAGGCATACTGAATCGCCTAGCCTTCAACCTCTTCCTGAAAAGAGGAAACGGAAGGCTTCGGGCAGCTATGATGTTTCCCTTAGTGGCCCACCCAGTGAACGGTTCATGTCAGATTCTCAGGTATGTCATTTTAAATATTGTATATTGATAGTCTGTTCTTACTTTGCGCATATAAATATTTTTAGATTTATATTTTTGTTGGTGAATAATTTATATTTTGCATGTACTTCTGTTTTGTTCTGATTTCTTAACGTCATTAGCTAAATATTTATGAGTAATAAATGGAGCATAAAAAAATTTTGTCAAAATAATTGGAGTCAAATAATGTATAATGTATATTTTAGATTATTATTTTGTATGTTATTTATTTATTAGGTATTTTAAATCATTTTCTAACTTTTGGTTTGGATTGATTGCCAACATTTTTATGCATTTTGCTATTTGTAAGTAGTAATATTTTTATTATTACATATTCATTATTCTACACGTAATGTTATCTCAGTATTTCATAATCAAAACTATAAAAAATCAACATGTTTTAGTATATGCCATTTTCCATTATTTACAATACGTGCAAAAGTTAGAAAATATGTTCAACATTTTTTAATGTCAGAAAGTAAATTATTATGATTTATTGAATTTATTGGTATTAATTAGTTGTGTAAGTTATTGCTTTTTGTATTGTATGCATAATTACATTATAATACCAGATGTAAACTAGTTTATCCGTCCGCGAAAATCGTTTTCAAAACATATGCTCCCGCGTGCTTGCGCGCGTGCGTTCGTGCATGCGTGCATACGTAAGTAAACATATGTATGTGATCGCATGGACACGTGCAAACATTTCATATAGGTAGCGCTTAAAATTCGAAGATAATGATCGAATTTTATCATTAAATTATGTGTGTATGTAATTGCACAGCTTTCCAAATATCTGTCCTTATAACCTTGAAATAAAAAGCAAATAATCTTTCTGTCATATTCTGATCCTTTAAAAGTAATTACATTTCAGACAATTCTTATCAATTCTTATCAAATAAATAATTTATTTTTGACTAATCAAAATTATATTTTTGATGTATGTTTTCATAATAATGTCAATAAATATATGTATACAAATCATAATTTGTAATAGCTTTATTACATTATTAAGATTTATAATCTGTTATTTTACTGTTCTCAGGCATCCTCACAATGTAGTTACAAATCAAGTCCTCCCGTAATTCCAAAGTTAAATAATGCAATGGGAGGTGATATGGAAGATGGTGGTCGACCTATGTCTCCTGCATCGCAGCCACAACCTTCTATCAAACAAGAATTAGATCATCATTTACCAGACTTCCATGACAATATTTCCCTCCCAGTAAGTAACAGTTTTATACATGAAATTTCGTTTAAATTCTTACAGTAAAAATGTTATCTGCATGTTAAAAGTGTAGTTCGTAGCATGTAAACAGTTCGTAGTAATTTTTAAATGACTGATATCATGAATATGCTTGTTTAGTATGAAAGTTATACAGTATATAGTTAATTCAGAATTAAATTATCTTTTGTTGTTTGAATTGTTTTTTATTTTAAAAAGAATTATTTCTCTTTTTAATGTTATGAAATTTGGTGCAATATTAAAACACTTTTGTTATCCTTTTTATTGTTCAGAAAATTCTTTTCATTGTATTATATAGGTAAATAATATTTTTTTTTCAAAGTTGTTCTGAAATAGCATAATATTTATTATATTATTTTTATGTTAAATTGTTTTCTGTGCTGCGTATTATTTCTATTTCAGCTTATTATTTCATATTTTCTTGCTACTCTACTTTATAATCTGTCTATCTTACTAAAATAACTATTTCCTTATGTATAGTATCTAAGCTATTCATGAAATAATATATTGCGTCAAGTATAACATGTTCAAAATATGAAGTTTCGTTACTGTTCCCATAGTTAACGTTTTCCTATTGTTGTCCCCCTACAATTACTTGGTCCAAACAAACATGGGAAGGAAGGGATGTTTAAATAGATACAAAATTGGCTTCTTATATGCTAAAAGGGTAAAATCAAAGATGTGTTGATTAAACACATATCCTTTCCTTCTCTGTTGACAGACTAGTGTGGAGTGGGAGGTTCAAAGAGATGGGAAGAGTGACGAAACTATGGATGTACAGAACATGACCCAAAATCAACCAGATTCCGCTGTGATACAAGTTTCTTGCGAAAGTACTATCATGGCTGGAAGTTCCCTGTCTATCACTATGTCAGAAACTGCGCCTGAATGTTATAAGAACTCATATAAATCTTTACAAAAGCAATGTGTGCCTCAAAAATTCAATTCACATGATAGCAACAATACAGAATCAAATTCATTGTGCAATTTATTGCTGGAAAATAATGTAAATGCTAAAAATTCTTATAATAATAATGCTAATAGACCAATAATAGTAAATCAACAGCAAGGCATGTCTGTAATACAATCAACTTTCTGCAACATTTCACAGCGTTCGAATTCTCATGGTAGAAAGTCTGGTAGATTTAAAATTGGTTGGTTAGATATGTATTCTTGGCTTCAGTACGATGAAAGATCAAATCTTATGTTTTGTAAATACTGCAGGAAATGGAGTGATTCAATTCCTGAAATTCGTACTTCATTTGCAGCAGGAAATGGCAATTTTAGACTTGAAATTGTAAACCATCATGATAAATGTAAAGCGCATAATTTGTGTGTTGCTAAAGAGAGTGCAGCAAAACAAAGTTATACGTATATCATGAATACCTGTTGATCTTATATTATAGTTACATTTTAATCTCGATTGACTTGTGATTAATTTTACTTAGTTATGATTGAGTTTAACTACAATCATTAAGAAATTTGTTATAACAGATAAGTTTTGTTTATTAGATAAAAATACATAAGCACCTTTTTTTTGTGTTCAGTCATGCATGTTTACATGTTTGTAATTGTTTAAGACTGTACAAACGATTTATTAATCACGCCGTATTTTCATAAAAGATGTATGTTTACAATCTGTATTTTGTTGCAAGCATGTTCATACCATAATACTTTAAAAGCTATTTGATGTCGTCTTTCTTCTTATAGCATTATTAATTTTAATTGAGCATTAAAAAAGTTTATAGATGTGTATGTTAGAAATACATAAAGATTGTATCAAATTTGGAGGATATTAGAAAAAGTGCCTATTACTAGCCATATTTTTAACGCTGCCATCATTACAAATAGAATTACTTTAGACAATATATTTTTTAACAATCTTTCTGATGCCTTTGCGAATTTTTTCATGAATTAAAATTATACATTGTATATTTTTCATTATGTTATAAATCAATTAGTTCTAATATTATATTATAATGTTCAATCACACAATGATATACGTAACATTAGAAGTAACACAATTAGCTTTGCCTATTTTCTCAACTATAAATTTAGTCAAATAACAATAAAATCTTTACTACGTATACATTAAAATGTTTTAGTAAATGTTAACGTCTTAAAAAAATGTTATAAAACGTACAGATGTTTATAAAAATATAGAGCAAAGTTATATAACTTACACTTGATATGTATATGTATATGTATATATATATTTATTATACGAAGAAAAATAGTAATGTATTTAGTATTGAAGGTTATATTTTCTTAAACAGTTGCAAAGTATATATTGTAAATGATTGATATAATTGAATTACCAAAGCATGTGCATTTCTGAAATGATGCATTTCTGTGATGAATATTGCCTGCATGGAATGAAAAACTGAATGTTTTTTCTACTAATTCTATTTTGTAACAAATCTACACATAGGTGCGAATTTAATAACTTGTTTTTTATCAAGTCAACAAGTTTACTCTCTTTGTTATAATTACAATCTATGATGTAAATAGTGAATAAAGAACGACTGTTGTAAATTTTAATCTATTCCATGTATTAGATTCAATTATAAGTATATACAGATTCAATTTCTTAACCTTTGGAGTATAAAGATTAAAAATTTTAATATAGAATTATAATCCTATACAACATTAAAATATCTAAAAATATATATTGAAAATTATTTGACTGAATTTTTAATAAAGAATTCTATTTCGTTTATGGCTCGAAAATAACCTTTATACTTTAAAGGTAAAATCTTTTCTTAATTTGGAAGACTTGTAACCACTTTTTTCCTCGCTTTTTATATTAATAATTTTTCGGTAATCGCGTTTTAAAACTACTTTTTATCTCACACTTTCTCTACCATCTAACCATCAGAATCCTTTTTTTTTTCATTTGTATTAATAAAATTGCTTATGTGATGTGCAGGGTCATCCAGTTGGACTGCTAGGAGAAGAAGGAGGAGCTACAACAGGCACGCTAAGCGATGGTGTGCCTGGAATCGAATCGTCTGAACACCATAATCCCCCAGAAATGCTCGACGGACTTGATGGTAAGACCTTAAAAGCATCATATCATTTACAATCAAAATTACATTTAGATTTCACGTATTTCCCTGTTGCTCGTTCGCGAAGGCAATATACAATAGATGTAGCCAAGGAAAACCATAATCCTTGAACAATACCGTTGTAAAGAACTGAAAACTTGCGTATCAGAAATTTTTAAATAACAGGATGTTTAATGATAGGACGAGCATTGGGAATACAGGATATCTAAGAAATCGAGGGAGATGTGCATGCACGTTTGCAAGAATTTTTGCGCGTCGAGTCGTACATAGGCGTACGAAGCGAGCATCCCTCTATTTCCAAGTCTGGCAAGCGTAGTGAGTGGTAACCTCTTTTTAGAAACACGAAAACAAACTTTCTTTGCTGAATGTGTATCCTGTATATATAACTGTATGTATGTATATACATATGCATACGTGAACGACGTGTGCTCGTGTATATATATGTATCTATATGTATATATGGGAGTATACATCTAACATAATGACACAATTATCCTTGGTGTTGTGGTGATGGTATCGTGCATTTGCTATGTCACTATGTGGTAGTTTAAACAACAAAAATCCGTAAGTGTGTTTTAATACATTATTAGGAGTATCTCTAACAAAACACGTGTTGTGTTGGCCTTGGGAAGTGGTATACGATATAAAGTGGACATTTTTTCCGTTGGTATCAGCAAATGGACCGTACTTTTGTCTGTCTGTCTGTTTGAATTTTCGAGACGGTATGTGTCCGAGTGCGTACATGGTCCCGTATGTGTTTTCTATCTTACACGTACACGCACATATACACACAGAAACTGCATCACAGGTACACATACGAGTTGATGGATCTTTGAGCGCGTGATAAAGTAACGGAATTCAGTTTGAATGTGTGTGAGTGCGTGTGTGTGTATCTGTGTGTGAATGCGTTGTTTGTCACGAGAACATGTGTATATACGTGTGTTACATAGTTTTACAACTTATTTATAAAACAACGATTATGTATGCGGCAGGTTCGTTTTACTTGAAAACGTATCAATATTTTAAAAATTATGAACGATGCGGTTAAATATTTCAAAATAATCTTGTAAGATGTCGAGAGAAATATACGACGATATATGGTTTACCTTGCAATAACCTTGAAACGTCCTGTAAAAGTCATCTAAATGGACGAAATAAATTTTCAGTTTTTCGTATTACAAAATCTAAAATTTTTAAATCTTCAAATTTAGAAATTTGTATATCTTTATATTTTTGGATTACAAAATTTTTTAATTTATTAACTTTTGAATTTGAGGATTTTCAAATTTACATATTTGATTTCCTCAAATCGAAGACAAGTGGTGCGATATTCACTCCTACACTTCTCAGTCAAATGAAGCATATGTTGTACTTGAACGTACATCGTGTAACACTAAAGTTGGCAGTATTTCAATTTTGAAATTTAATTTCTTGACAGCGATTTATGCGAAAGACTCAGTTTAGTAGCATTTTAAAAGCGTCTTGATGCCATATATCTGTCAGAATATGGAATTCATGAATATAGTTTCTATTTAAAAATATAATCGTGATCTTCGCAGTGTTTTTCAATGTCATTGTAAGTTAAAATAAATATTAACATGATGGTATGTTTCCTTTTACATCATACGACATCCGTTTGAAATATTTTTTCGTATCGCCCACCGTTTTTGTGATATTTATACTTTCTGAGATAAAACGGACATACTGTATATACAGGGTGATCAATAAGTCTCTGACAACTGGGATTCAAGGTAAACAAAGTAACACTAAAATGTATGAAAACTTTATTTTAAAAAAATGTTTAATATGATGCAGAAGCGGTATTTGATTGATGAGGTTTTCGAGATATTTTTTTTCGAACACAATGTAGTATCTAAAAATCGAACTAATTGATCGGAATGTATCAACTTTTTTATGTATGTAATTAATCTGCAAATTGTGAGGTAGGCTATGATGTCCTCCATGTTACCGTACAAAAGGATCTCATAAACTACGAAATTAAACGATGTCCAGTGATTGTGCTATATAAAGGTTGGATTAGAGGTGCTGTTATCGATGAATATTGATAATATTGAATTGTTACCAATCATTTGATATATCGTTCATATTATTAAGATGTTGTTAAGGCAGATGAGAGTGACTGAAGTAGAACGTAATGCGTAATTTTATCATTCAAATCTAGTTATTCTCATTTATCCTTCAAATCTAATCTAAGCCAATACATCATTTTATTATACGTATCAAGTTATTCTTGTTTTAAATTAAATTACATTACATTTGAAGTTTAACCAAGTACAAATAGATATAAATTTTAGGTTAGATTTTAAATTTAAGCAAGAATAAATGAATTTGAGCGATTTAAATATGTATCAGGATAGGTTTGGTTTCAAAATGAAATAAAAATAAGTAGATTTGAATAGTAAAATTATGTGTCATGTTAGATGAAATTAGATTATAAGAAACAAAAATCGGTCTACGTGAATAAAAAAGTGACAGGTTACATTTTATCAATCACTCTCGTAACGACGTCTGAACGCAATTATTTATATATCATCGAGTATAAGTGAGATATCGATAATCTATCTGTATATCATCGCTAGTATCATCTCCAATGTCGATATAGCAATTATTTTCAGCTTTGAGAGCAAAAATTTTGAAAATCTTATTAATTATATACACCTTTGTGTTTCGTTAAACATTTTTTTATTAAAATCGTGATATCTTTTAGTGTTACTCTAATTTTGACTCAAAATTGTCAAGGACTTACTGGACACTCGGTATATGTACATATAGCTGAGATGTATATGTACGTGTGTATGTGTGTAAATATATACGTATTCATTACCGACGGGATTCTCTGTGCATGTTTTTTTACACACTGTTTTCTCTATCCTCTTACATACATATACCTTTTGCCACGTCTTACGTCACCGTAACTAGCGATCATAATCTTACATTCTCACGTGTCTCTCTGTTGCGCTGTTTGTTTTTAACCCGTACGGCACGAGTAAACGGGGATATTAGCAACAAAATGCAGTACGCGTCCAGTGACGTGACCGATCGATCAATTGACGCGAACGTCATTGTACCGGTCCAATAGTAAAGAGTAATTACATAAATATGATCATTTCTATCCTGAGAAGTTAATCATAAATTGTTTAGCATTCGTCGAATAGCGAGCGAAAAGAGACAAGGATTTTGTTGCTAACTCGACGGTCCGTTTACCATTTTCTTGATCCCAGTTGACGATCTTGCAGAAAATCGTTGTTCTCGCCATCGTCGTCGTCGTCGTCGTCGTCATCGTAGTCGATCCGATTACTATCTTGTGCTCGTTGTTTATGGCAAAGGATAGATGAAGTTTTTACTTCTAGCATCGCTGGTATGAATCTCTCGTTGCCTTGCTGCGCGTGTGTCAACGTGTATGAAGCATAAAAACGGAAAAAACTAAAGCAGTAGATGAACGTTCTGATAACTGGAACCACTTTTCTCTCTCGGAATACGAGCACTCGTCGAGAAAGTATTTTACATTATCAGTTGCTCTCTTCAACAGAATACTTCCGCTTGCGTTGATCTTTTAACGGATTCTTTTTTTTCTCTCTTTTGTTTCACCTCTCCTCCTTCCCTTTTTCTTTTCTTTCTATTTTTATTTTTGTCGTTGTCGTTGTTGGTTTTCAGTCTCTTCGGTTGTATTGTGCTAGCTTTTGCGTTCAATTGTACTTTTGACAATGATAAGACAGTAGGTGTGCGCTTTTTCTCCTTTCTTTTTTTTATATTTCTCTTCCTTATATATTTGATAATGATTTTCCTGTTACGAGTAGGCATCTCTAGGCGTTATCTATGCGTAATGTTACTATATACGAGTGTGGTGTTTCGTACTTGATTGAAGAACGTAATTAATTGAGAGAATC